TCTGGATGATCTCTGACACCCTGGCAGGAGACCCTGCCTTGCCCAGGGCGGGCAACGCACTGCCCAGCTGCCATGCCAACATCCCAGAGCTGCCCCAGCAGGCAGTCTGCTACTGCTTTCACTGCAGGTTCCACTACCAAAACTGCCCCACTGGAGCCTCCTTCCTGCTGGGTCTGTGTGCCACATGCACGGCTCCAAATCCTCACCCACATCACAGTGCGCTGGGGCAGATCTTGGGAGAATGACACAGCTTATTGGAAAGGCTGCAGCTCTTTCCCCTCCTTATTGAAACCCAGCTCAAATACTGCCCAGGTGCAGCCTGTCGCTGCCCTACTTTGGGCTTTAAATCACAGAAACCCTGGAAAACAGCAGGAGATAAGTAAGGATGAGGATGGCTCGGCCTGACCTGGTGCTCTAGTGAGGTTCGTGCCTCTGGGTTGCCAGATCACACCACGATCAAACAGATCCCAGATGGAAGCAGAGCCGAGTGGGGCTCTGCACCCAGTGGCAGAGGCAGAAGAGCTGTGCTGGGGAGTGGGACAGACCACGAAGGCACAGTTTGCAGCCCTGTCCCTGGGAAGATGCTGCAGAGGCGAAGCAACTCTGTGCTGTTAGCTCCTGTGGGGTGAAGTATTCCTGGGGGAAGGGGCTGCAAGTGTGAAATCACTACAGATTTGAGACACAGACATGCAGCAAAGAGCACTGAAGTGGGTGTTCACAGCACATCATTTCATTTCAATGGCATTTGGCATCAAATTGCTGTAAAACCAGTGGGCGGGGACTGCTTCTCACTGAAGAAGTTCATTAGATTATAAGTAATTTGGTTACATAGAGAGCAAGTAGAACCTGGGGCTGTTTTGAGGGGCTTTTTGAAAAAGGTCAGAACAATATATCAGCCGGCTGTTGGGACTGATGGCTTTTGGGGGGAAGATAGTAGATATTTCAAGATAAACACTGTACACTAGTGTATTTTTCTCCTGATTGTATACTTCCGTCCTTCTCGTACTTAACATAAAAAACATTTTGTGAAAATGACTGGCACAGCAGAGAAGCCTATCAACTGAGTTGCTGCCAGCACTTCTGATGAAGAGGCACATAGCTGCTCTGGAGGACATGCAGGGCTGCAAGCACCGGCATCCTGTGAAAGGGAGCTGGACCCAGCTCTCCGTGCCCAGCTCAGCAGGGCACAGAAGCTGCTGCTTCTGCAAAAGCAAAATCCAAAACCCAAACCCCAAGATTTTTCCTGTGGGCAGGTGAAGCCATGTCTCCTCTGGAATGCCACACCTATTGCTAACCCCTTGTTTGGGAAGGTGAAATATTGCCCTGGCTCACCAACCAGAACGGTGGCTGCTGAGTAGGTGGCAGGACCTTGTTTTTGAAGCCATGCCAGCTAAGTCAGCCTCTCAGGGTAAGCACGATTAAACACTGAATTCCCTGGAAGCCTTGTGCTGATGGAGCGGATGGTGTCCCCACCCAAGCAGTCCAACCCTGCTCACCACTGGATCGTGGCACAGATTTCAGTGCCCTGCAAAGCAGTAAGAGATGGAGATATGCTCGGTGTCCTGCTCCGCTGGGGCTTTTGATGACAAGCATATTCACCAGAGTTTTAAGTCCCCACAAAAATACCCTAGAACAATAACAGTCTCTATTTCATGCTACAATCCAGGTATTCCGAAAAAGAATATTATAAGTTCCAAATTCTGCATGTGCTCGACATTTATTTGAATACATAGGATCTAAAAAATGTTAACATCCATTGTGCTCCTACATTGTGAATTTACTGAGATAGGGTGGTGTGAGTGGAAGATGAATTTCTCTTGTCTAGTAACTTTCACCTTCTAGCTTGGATTTTAAAGGAAAGCCCCAGCTTTGCTTGGTTACAGATGGTTTTTAGATTAAGCTGAGTGAAAACAGAATCTGGACACAGCCTGATTCTGAATGCTGTGGCACACTCTGGAGTCTCATTGGCTTGCATGGCACAACCATGCCTTTCAGAACGGTTCCTCTGACTAGCTTGGCTCTGACCCTTCATTTTCAGACATGGGTAAAAGTATCTGGACTGCAGGACTAGTTGTGAAAAAATACAGCAGAATTAATCAGCCAAGGTGGAGTAGTCAAAGTGCATGGCTGAAGGGTGTCAAAACAACCACGGGTGCTAAGAAAAGTGTCATTCCCAGCCTGTGTTGCCACTGTTTGAGATGTACATTCCAGACTCCAGTTCCACATCTGTCATTCACCAGTACCTCTTTTTTTTTGCTCAATAACCCCCCCACTCACCAGCTAAAAGGTATCTTCAAATATTTCACTAAAAAATCCTGAATTATATTTACAAATCCTTATCTACATCCTGGCTACACTCTCAAGTTACTGTATTTCCTACTTTTTCTCCTGCTACCTAACATTTCAAGGATTAACTGGGCAGTGTGCAACCTCTTATAGTCCTATATAACAATGTCTGCTCTCTGTTCCTTTGTCTTAGCATTCTCCAATCTGTCTGTACAGTCCTGTGCTTGTTTTCAAGGCAATATCCAAGTGTGAAGCTGCTTTAGCCATTCATGAGGATGAGATTTATTATCTAGAAGCACACCAATAATACAGTATTAAAAAAATAGCACTCTTTCATCAAAACCTAATGAACATGCGATTTAATCTTTATTAAGAATTCATTAGGTTCTCAGCAAGGCTGTCTAATGGAGCTTGACCAGGTGAAATGCTAATGCCTACATTATATTTAAATTAATTTTCAGCAATGTTGGTTTCCCCGCGTTGCTCCCTGCCCATCGCTCTCCCCGGCGCCCGCGGCTGCGCGGCTCTCTCCAGATGCTGCTGCCGTGCTCATAGCAACACCGCTGTCCCCACCCCAGCCTCCGCACACTTCACTGGAGTTTCCACACTCACAGATGCCTCCCAATTTCCAACACTATAAGCCCATCCACCATAGCAGCTTCCTTGACGTTTTCATATTAGGTACAAAGCTGCAAGCCTAGCGTGCCTTACTTTGAATCGTTTTAATGAAATGCATGTATATATATATACATATATATATACACACACACGTACAAAATGGGTATATTTCAGTCCTCAATATACCAATCTAGTCCAGCAAACAAGTTATTATCTTAATGTGATTTGCTTCAAAACACAAGAGCTCTGCTCTTTGGAAAACAAGAGTGATTGTATGCTTACTGTGTAGCCAGTGTGGTCACTGCCTGCCCTCCTGCCTATGGGCTCTACGTGTGCACTCTGCTGTTGTAGTTCCTACAGCCTCTCCCTTCAACCAAAACCCATTGCCCGCCATTCCAGCATGCTTCTGCAGAAGCAATTCCTAGAGATTAAATAATTTATTGGTGTTCATCTGCAGCGACATGTCTCCTGATCCACCATCTGCACACAAACAAGAGCAAACCAAACCTACCCCACCCCAGACCCAAATCAAACTGTGGGGGTGAAAATGGGGAAAAGCCCCCTTTCAAACAGTGAAAAGGGATAATCAGAGCCTCTACAGAAGTAGAGTACACAAACGTCAGTGGGGAAAGCCACGGACACCACTGTGCACTGGAGGCGAGTCTCCTCACAATGAGACCTCCCAGCCCCGCAGCGCCTTGGGAAAAGCACTGCCTCAGGCGGGGATGATGGTTTCATTGAACCCCCGAAGGGTGGGCACAGCAGCCACGGAGCTGATACAGAAATATCCGGGTCACCCGCTAAGCCACCCTGCCTGAAGGGGAGCTGGGCTGAAGGCCCAGTGGTGCACGCACATGCACGCGCACATGCACACCCACACTCACACACACTCACACTCTCACACACACACTCATACACACACACACTCACACCCACATTCACACACACACACGCACAGCCGGGGCGGTTACGGGAGCTCAGGGCTGCAGCTTGCGACGGGCACGGGCCCCTTTGCTTATTCCGGAGCCCCTTAGGCTTCTCCCCGGCCCCTCCGGAGGCAGCCGAGCGGTTCGAGCCCCGGCCGGGCGCTGTCCAGCGCGAACCGCCTGAACGCCGCGCCGGGACCCGCCCGCCGGCCCGCGCAGCCCCGGATCCCCGCGCCGGGACCTGCTCCCGGCTCCCCGCGTCCCATCCACACCCATCCCTGAGCCTCTTCCCCTCGCTAAGCAACCCCGGTCCCGGGGGGGCCCCTCCCAGCCACGGATCCCTCTGCAACCATCAGCATCGCAAAGCGGCAACCGCTCCCAGCTGAAATCCAGACCCTGAACCAGCGCCCAGGCTCGTTCAGTGATGGCGCCCGCCTCCAACCAGCCCGTCATGTTTGTAGCGGTGGGAGGACGGGATATTTCATTGTATTTTAATTTTTTTTTAAAAATGGCTTGGGGGAGAATAGTCGCACCACGGGTGTACCTCCACGTCTATTAGCCTTCCCTGCATCTGCTTTCCTACTAGGTGCATTTACACGAGCCACGAGGATGCTTGGAAGAGACCTTGCGGTGGGGCTCTTCACTGCTGTTTATTACACGGTTACATCTAATTAAACACAGAAAAAGGGTGTGGGAAGCCCCGGCGAGGAGCAGCGCCGAGTACCATAGGGAGACTCGGATCCCAGAGCAGGAGAGGTTTGAATGAGATGAGTGGCCAAGCTCGTCGTTCATTAATTAAAAGAAGAAGGCACAAGCTCAATAAAAGGGGCTTTCAGTGATAGGGAGCCTTGGTTTAAATCCGCAGAGCCGGCAGATAACACCCCGACATTAAGCTTAACTGAGAGCGTTCGCTTCACGGGGACATCTGCGCCGAGGGGGAAGGTGGGCTGCCGGCCTCCCTCCACCGCCGCCGGGCGCGAGGCCGCGGGGCGACGCTTCAGCACCAGCGGGCCCTGGACAGCGCCGGGAGCGGCGGCGGCCCCGCCGCGCTGTGCCTGCGCGGTCCCCTCAGGTAAACATGGCGCCCGCGGCCCTCGCTCACCTCCGCGAGCCCCCGCCCCGCTCTCCCGCCCCGCACCGCCGCTCACTCGCTCCCCCCGCGGGACTTACTTCATTTGCTTCACGATGGTGCTTTTTCCCGACTCTCCGGCTCCTGTTGGAAGAGAGATGAGGTGGGATAAGCGCGGGGGAGGAGGAGGAGGAGGAGGAGGGGGGCGATGGGGGGGCGACCGGCGGGTTCTCACCGAGCAGGAGTAGTTTCACGTCTTTGGCCGCGCTGATCCCGTCCTCCTTCAGGTTCTTCTCGATGGCCTTGCTCCGCTCCAGGGCGGCTCTTTCCTCAGCACTCAGGGTACATCCCATGGCGGCGATGGAAATTTAAAAAAAAAAAATGAAAAAAAAAAAAAAAGGGGGGGGGGGGATGCAGCCCCCGCCGCCTCGGCTGGCTCCCGCGGGCAGAGAGGAGGAGGCGGCCGGGGGGCAATAAAAGAATTAAAGCAAATGGCCGTGAGGCTCCGGGTAGCGCAGCGCCTCCGCGGCGGGGCTCCCGGCTCCCTCCTGCCCCTCTCTCCCCGCGCCCGAGCGCTCAGTGCATCCAGCGGGGCTGCAGCGGGCACGGCGAGCTCTTCCCGGCCGGGAGGCGGAGGCGGAGGCGGGGGAGGAGGTGGAGGAGAAGGAGGAGGAAGCGGGTTGGCGGCGGGGGAGGGTGCGTCCCTCTCCCGTGCTCCCGACTGTCGCTGTCCCCTCCTCGGCGGGCGGCGGCGGAGCCGAATGGAGGCGCGGCGGGGCCGCCCGCTCTGCGCGGGCGGAGGTCGCGGCCCGGTGCCCGTGCCCTCGCCCCGGGCTCCGGCGCCTTTCCCCGGACGGGAGAGGCGGTGGCTTGGGCTGCTGCCCCCCGTTCCCGCTGACTCAGAGCTTGGGTCTGCCTTGGTGGAGGGTCTAAAGGGGAAGCCGTACGAGGAGCGGCTGAGGGCACTTGGCTTGCTCCGCCTGGAGAAGAGATTGAGGGCAGCGCTCACCGTGGGCTGCAGCTTCCTCGGGAGGGGCAGTGCAGGGGCAGCACCGATCTCTTCTTGCTGTGACAGGACCCGAGGGAACGGCTGGAGTTGTGCCGGGGGGGAATTAGGTTGGCTATTAGGGAAAGGTTCTTCACCCGGAGCGTGCTTGAGCACTGGAACTCCCCAGGGCAGTGATCACAGCTCCAAACGTGGCAGATTTCAAGAAGCATTTTGTCAAGGCTCTCAGGCACATGGTGTGACTCTTGGGGATGTCCTGTTCAGGACATCCCCAGGGCTAGGAGTTGGACTCGATGATCCTTGTGGGTGGCTTCCATCTCAGGCCACCCCACGATTCTGTAGGAATCATGCAGCGCAGAGTGCTCGGCGGTGTGACAGCAGTGTGGGTACGTGGGCACTGGGCTCCCCGGGCACTGTCCCCGGCACTGTGGGCACCCTGGCTCCCTGAGGGACCCCCACAGCTCCTGCAGCCACACCCTAAGCCTGCCCCCAGCCCACAATGCCGTGGTTGTGACCTGACCTGCGAGGAGCCCTTTGGGAGCTCCTCACAGTTCAGGCACTTTGATCAACACTTGCAACGTGAATCGTTTGCACGGTCCGTGCAAAGCATCAGGTTTCACCACCATGTTGGATTATGTTTTCCATCAGTGTAATTAACAGATGGTTTGGGTTTTTTGTGTTGCGTGTGGTCACAGACATCACCAGATGACCTGCCTTCTTTTCATAACCATTCCATGACATCTAACAGTGATTTAAGAATTCTAGTGAGTTAAAGTCCCACCATTTTCCTGGCAAGTTTTTCCATTTCACAAGGTTGGAAAAGAGAGAAGAAAACAAGTGTCAACAAGGAAAATAAATAGAACTTTGTTTAAAATCTTTCCTACAGGCCCAGACAAGTCACAATATACTCAACTTTAATCCATAACATTGATTGATATGTGACAATCTAGCTATAAAAAGATCTAGAGAGGAAAGAACTATTGAGCACAGTGAGGTAAAATGCATCAAACTAAAATGAGGATAATCAAGGATTGCTACCTGATCCATGGAAAGGACACCCACCATTTCAGTAAACAAGAAATCTGCAAAGGGAAGTTTGGTTGTTCAGAAGTAGGTGTGAATGCTGAGGCTGCTGATTTTGCCTCTAAAAGCCACTCCACCTCTCTGCCAAAAAGCACCCAGCTGCAGGAGGCTTGACAGGAGCATCCCTGTGCTGTGGGAGGGAAATGCAGGGGCTCAGGGAAGGCAGGGGGCTGCTGTTTGTGCTGTTGGGTGTGGGTGACCATGTGCTTACACTGTGTGGGTTTTCCACCTGGGACCTCTGCTCACGGTCTCCTCTGTGATTGTCTCACCTGCTGTCCTGAGTTCACCAGATCCCATATCCAGGACCATTTCCATAGGGGTAGAAATATCATTTCTAATAGCACTTAGAGTATTTTAAGCATGAAGTCACAGGCACTTTCCTTCCAGGCAGCCATCATCTCCTCCCAGTGCTGTTTCCCATCCCTTCTTCCTCACAGAACATGTTCTTCCCATATTCCCTCCTGACCTCTGAAACAAAAGGGAAAAAGAGGACATGTGGTTAACGAGGTAAAGAGGGGGGGATGAAAAAAAAGCAGAAAAAAGGAAGAAAAAGGTAACTAACTCAGTATTCAAGGACCAGTAATATTTACTACACATTTGTGAGCTAATAGGTGCAGTATATTTGAATTTTGGGTAATTTATTTCTGGAAGCTCAGGGGACTGAGATGGACAAGCAATCCCACAGCATGTGTTCAGCAGGGAATAAATGGAGATGGGTGCGGTTACAGAGCAGTTCCTGCTCTTTCATATTCGCACAAATCTCATGTGTAAAATCAATAGGATCAGAATTTCAGTCAATAAGTTTCATTTCAATGGTTCTAGCCGGAGGGAATTACAAAAAGTGCTGTATAGAAAAAACACAATGAAGAAATCCAGAGGCAGTGTCCTCATGAGATGGCTGCATTTTCTTCCCATCTCCTCCAGCAGCTTGCCAGCCTCGGACTCATATTGGGAAACTCTCCAAGGGTTTTACTAAGAGAATTAGTCTTTTGTATCAGCCTCTGGCTACTCGTTATCTGACAAATTTGTAGCCCGAGTCTCCTGCCATGGAGAAAATTATTTCTCTTCTTCTTGACCAGTGTGGAGTCTGCAGTCAACCCTTTGTCCCATGAACATCCCCATTGCTACACAATAATCTGCTAATTTCTTCTTAAGGGAAAATCAGAAATTGGCAAGTCTTCTCCTTGCTCTCTCAGCTCTCAGAAAAATTCAGGGGAGCAGCTGTGAAATTGAGCCATTTCTGAGCCATTTTTTTTCCTGCTGCTAACTGAGCAGAGCTAGTGGAAACGTTTCTTTCAAAATTTTCTTAGAGGGAAATTTAATTTTTTTTTAATCTGCTTATTCATGGCAGATGAATTTCAAGAACATGAAAGAAAAAAGGTTGCCTCCTCCACCAAACAAAATGCATTCCAGCCTACTTGGCTTTTGTGATAAATATATTGGGTTTTGTTGCTGAAAAAGATGTTTCCCTTTTTCAGGAGCTGACAGAAGTCCTCTTTTAATGAAAAGTGGTTGCTGGTAGTAACAACTTCAGATGAAAATAGGCTTCTTTTTTTTTCCCTTTGTAAATGAGAGAACCTCTCCATTAAAGGTGGAGAGGAGGAACTTTCTTTCTGCCTATTCCTGCAATTAAACTCTTTCATCAAGGTGCACAAGGAACTCGCCTGTTTCTGCTCAGACTGCTCTCTCCCAAGCCTAAGAGTCAGCAGTGTATTTTAAGCAGAAGTCTTCATTCTCCTGTATCTGGTCTGTGCCTCAGCAAAACCCAGCTTCTTTCTGCAGTCAGTTTTCAAACATAGTGCTAGGAAAGTTGATCAGATAGTAATTTCTTTAAGAAGTGAAGGATGGCAACAGAACTGGTAGATGCCATTGAAAAAGACCGTGCCAAAGTGATACTGCGGGGTAGAAGGCAGCTTTATGATCTCACATGTGTTGTCTTACCCTGGGTGCTTCCAGGCTGGGGACAGATGAGCCTTCCAGCACATCAGAGCCTGGGCTCTGCTCCCCAGCTCAAGGGTTTGTAGAGTGCTCTGGCTTTCTTCCTAGAATCACAGAACAGTTTGGGCTGGAAGGGACCTTTCAAAGCCATCTAGTCCAACCCCTCTGCAGTGAGCAGGGACAGCTTCAACTGGGCCGTGTTGCTCAGAGCCCTCCCCAATCTTGCCTTGAATGTTTCCAGAAATGGAGCATTCATCACCTCTCTGGAACCTGCAGTATTTCACCCCCCTCAAAATCAAACTTTCTTCCTTATATCTAATTTAAATCTGCCCTCTTCTAGTGTAACACCATGACTTCTTATCACAACAGATCTTACTGAAGCGTTTGTTCCCACAGCTTGCCAGGAGGCAGTAAGGAGGGGTGAGAAAACTGTTCCATGGGCCTTGAGAAGGTCTCACAGCTACCACGACACTCCCACCACCACAACAGAGGTTGCAGTAGTATTGGAGGGAATACCACATTGGTTCCATCCCCGTAATTAGTTGATATGGCAGGATCAGCACATCGTCAGAGAACTGGTGGGTGGAATGAGGAGGGAGTGGGGCAAGCCCAGAATGATGTGACCATAGGAGGAAAGCTGCAAAGCTTTGCAGCTCATCTTTCCCCTCCTACTTCAGGGTTGTTCTGTCCAATCTATAATCTTGTATTCCTTCGGTGTGGTTTTAATGGACATGCTAATGGAACAGCCACCAATCCCATGGAGAGATAGTGATGCATTCTAGCAGATCTCACCATTAGGAAGTTTTGCCCGGATATTCAGCTTAATTTTTCATTCTTTAAATTGATGTCAATTACCCCCCAGCTAAACCTAGTTATGTAGTGGAAGACAGGTTTAAAATACTGCGTGATCTCACTAAATTGGAGAAATGGACAGAAATCAATACAATGAGAGGCATAAGAACACCCATAAAGGTTAAGTGGTTGATGGAGGAAGGATTAATGAAATGCACAGATACTAGGTTAAATTGCAAATATCCTTACTTCACTCTTACTCACTCCATACCCCACAAATATGTTCTACTCCAGCAAATCAAATGAGGAAGCACCTTAGAATTTGACTAGTGATTTGGAGAAGCAGAGACGAGTATTAAGGGAAAGATGGTCTAGGGTGAATTTATTGTGTGGAAAATTGGCTATAAGACAAAAATGAGACATCAAGAGAAAAAAAAAAAAAAAAAGTGACCTGTTGGTAAGAATATGACCTGCAAAATAATTGGTGTCAAGAAGTAAGTTGGACAGCCTGATGAAGTCTAGAGAAATGCAGAAAAACCTACTTTTGTTGTTAGTTTTTCATGCCTGTCTGGGTGGACAATGATAAGTACAGTACCTGGGAATCACTGACAGCTCCTGCTTGAAATTGGGTGAAGTTTTTGGGCTAGGGCTTATGGGGTTAACACATTTGTGTGGCAGAGAGATACAACAGCTTGTCTTCAAAGTACTTGGAACTAACCTTAGAAAGTTTTCTGTTCAGGTCTGTCATGTCACAGAGAGAAGAACGGGATGTATTCTGTGGAAAGTAACAAATGCCAGAGAGAAGATCTGCAGGGGAAGCTGAGGAGAAATGCATGTACCAGGGCTGGAGGAGGTCCTGGGGCTGGTCTGTCTGCCAGTCCCAGAAGACAGCAGCTGAATGAAAGCACTGCTCAGAACTGTG